CTGAACTCTTGGGCCAGGTCTTTGTCCAGAAAGAGGTGGACTTCAACACCTCTCCTTCCACTGCTCAAGATTCTGCCCACCAAACAACAGGGGATGTCTAGAGAGTACAGGCTGGGTTCTGGCCTCCTCTGCCTGAGCCCAGGGTTGACAACATGAGGCTGACCACTTGTGGGGTCGACACCCAAGGCAGAAGATGCTGCTGTCATTACCACAGTGGGAGGCACAGGGCTGGCTTTTCTCTAGAACTTTAGAAATCTCATCTCCATTTCAGAAGATGACACAGCTCCCTAGAGAGGGGCATAGCTTGACCAAGGTCTTTAGCCTCCACGCTGGTTTTAAAAAGTACCTGGAGTTTTGCTTTCACTTTGGTATGGTGAGGCCATCAGATCAGGAGACGATTGCCATTGAAAAGATAGTGTGCTACTCACAGTTCCCAAGAGGAGAGAGCACAGCATGCCAAACAGGGCCACACAGAGAGGCACCAGGGTCAGACAGGAGGAGGAGGAAGCAAGGGGAAAGCACTGGCAAAAGCATTTACTGGGGTTTCTGCAGGGAGGGATGAACAAGGCAGGGTAAGTAGCTTGCCAGGCTGAGGACTGGTGAGTTTGAACAATTCTGGAAGGCTCTGGGGCTTAGCTGTGTCCTGAGTTGTCGGGTATGCAGCCCTGGGATGATCAGGGCAGGGGGACAGTGACTTGGCCAGATAAAGGAGGTAGTTGAGGGTATGGGCTCTGGTTTGGTTGCTTTGCGTGTAGAAGGCACCCTCACAGGGAAGTCATCTGCTCCCTCTGGGAACTGGCCAGCCCTGGGAGAAGCCTTCTTCCCCTGCTCAGCAAGCCCCAAATGCCAGAGCACCAGGAATCCAGAAAATAAGAAAATATCGTTAACACAAGGCTCGGTAGAGAGGGTTTGAGTTTCTCACGAGCTCACTGCTCTCCAGAGCAGCTACTCAGGGGCCTTCCCTTTGCCATCATCCCCTTTGCAAGGACCTCAAAAGTCCCTTCTTCCAAAAAAGAGGTCCATGGAAAAGGGGAAAGGAGGACTTCTGGGAGAGAGAAGTGAGTGTTAAATAAAACCTTTCTTCACCATTCCTTCTAAATAAGCTTTGCAGCTTGGCAGAAAAAAGAAACATCAGAGCTGAGAAAGAAGGGAGAGAGGGTGCCAGACATCTCAGAAGAAAGTGGGTGCAAATAGCTTAGAGCTCAGGGGGGTCACTTGGCTTTTGGTCTGGGGATCAACGGGACCATCGCAAAGGCCCGTCCTCACTGACGTCTCCTTCCCTCCCTTAGATCTGCTCTGCGTTGAATCGAGGTGTGCAGAAGGCTGGGAAGGGGGATACAGCTGCGAGTATCAAAGCAGCAGCACAGTCAGGCTTGGAAACTTGGGTTTGCGGAGAGGGAAGATAGCGAGGATTGCACAAACAGCCCTGCAAACTATGAACAGGAGAGGGAGGAGTGCACGGGAGAACTTCCGGTCAGGGCAACTGAAAAGTGAGGTGAACAGAACCTTCCCACGCTGAACTCGGAGGTCTAGTCAGTCCAGTATCCCATGGAAGTTTCTTTGAAGGAAACTTGTGCATGCCTGCATAAATTTACACACCCTCTTGATACTGTCTTGTTTAGGTTTGGGTTTCTTTTCTTTCCCAGGGTATTGAAAGTGCTAGACTTAGACCTTTATCTGCTCTGCATCTGATGTTCTGGAGAGTTCTGAAAGCCCCTCGGCTGCTGCAGGAGATGTGAATGAATTTCCTGAGCAAGTCCACTCTCTGGACCAATAGTCTAAAGAATTTTGGGGGTTTGCTCAGAATCCTAAGACGGGGTCTGTGAACCCTGGGCCACCAGGTCAAGCACACTTCTTCTAAGACAGCCTGGTAAAAGTGACTTCACTGGCCAGGACACCCTCATTGGCCAGAGGGGATTCAGTGGGTGCTGTGCGTGAGTGTTGGGAGGGTAGGGAAGGGGGAGAAGGATAAACTTGAAATGGTGGGGCGGGGCAGGTGGAAATCCAAGGGCGTCATTAATATTAGGTATTTTTTTGTGGTCATGTTAACTTTTAGGCTTAAAGCACACTCCCTAAGTAGAAGTGATGGCTTAGGAGCCTTGGGAATTAGAAGTAACTGTCTTGGCATAAAATGATCAAGTCACAAGTGCAATCATGTGAAGAAGCCAGGACCCAGGCCAGGACAGCCTGACTGAGCTGTGGCTCAGGTCTCATCTTCCCTCCTGTCTCGGAAGTGGCAGCCACCATCCTTCATACAGTTTCCCTTCCCTGGCGAAGTCCTGACCCCGTTACCTCCTGAACCCAAAGCCAGCTGCTGTAATGCAACAGAGCATCCTCCTTCTGAGCAGTGAAGGATGAGCAGCCAGCACTCAGAACTGTCAGTAAGTCTCCAATAATTAGCTTAAAATATGCTCCCAGACTGATGGACACTCTGGGAATCCAGATGGGACACATTAGAAAATAAAGGAGATGACTCGAATCTGAGAAAAATGATTCTTGAAGGGAATAAAAAAATGTCCTGTGGGGAAGGCTGCCGTTTATGCTGGATCTTGTTCAGCCCGGGAGGGCTTCATGGAGGAAGGAGGCTGGAGGGAATAGGAGGGAGGCTGTGAACTGAAAGAACTGGAGGTGGGGTGGTGCTGAGGGCTCAGAGAGGTTAAACTCTGCTCTCTCTGCTGGATCCCCCCATGAGTCCCCACTGAAGTGGCTCAGGTTGCCATTCAAAGGATGGTTCTGTGGGGTGAAACCTGTCGTGGTCCAGTGGGTGGCACTTTTGTTGATTTTACTCTTGATGACACACTTTCTCCCACAATCGTTTCCTGGCATAGAGACAGGGGAGGTGCTTCACTGACCTGCAGGCCTGGCCAATGGAAGATGAAACTGATCTACGTGCCAGTTTGGGGGTGATGGGAGCTGTAGAATGACTTCAGTGGGATCATTTGGGATGTTCTGTACTAGAATCACTCCTGGGGTTTTCTGCAGAGAAATATGTTTTCTGCAACTTTGGAGGCTTGTTCTTTTTGGCGTTAGTTCTCTTAATTCTGGCCAGCCCTTCTGAGTTACTCCAAACAGCCCCAGTGTCCAGGCTGCTGCCCTTTCCCTTATAGCTCCCACATCATTAAGATAGGCTCAGGCCACTCTTTGGGCTCTGGGGTGACCTTCTTGGTGCTGAGTGGGATGTCAGCTAACAGGCAGTGCAGCGTTGGCCTGTCCCTGGGGGACGGTGCTGCAGTCTGGAGCCCCTGAGGGTGAGCGTGCAGCACAGCAACACGTTGTGGGCTCCCCTCCATGCAAGTGAGCCATGTGTGGGGCTTTGCCCTCAGCTCTCTCAGTTTTTGTCCCAGTCAGTCCTCAGGATGGCTTCCACAGAGCAGTGAGTGCCTCTGTCTCAGTAGTGCCATCATCCATTCTTCGCTGTGTCGTTCCTTTGGGAGAAGGTGCCAAGGAGCAGCTCTGCAGCTGCCTGTGCTATGGAAGTACCTTGGATCTGTGAAGCTGAAAGCCCTAAAGTGTGGGCACACTGAGCACACACCGGCCCGTGCTGACCATGTGGGTGGATGGGCCCAGGGAAGGGAGGGGAACTGGGCCTCAGCACTCCTTCTCGGAAGAGGTCATCCCCACCTCCAAGCTCAGAGGTTTGAGAGGATGCTGCATGTATGACAGGAAGCACTGGAGCTGGGACAGTCCTGGCTGCAGGAAACAGCTTCAAGCAGAGAGTTCTGTCACAGAGCTTCCCTCCACCCTAACCTTACCACCGAGGTCAAGTGGGGATGCTGCATGGTGAACAGCACACGAAGACTATAACCCTTGACTGGGCCCCCAACCAGCATTCTCCAGGCTGACCCACACAATTCCCTCCCTGTTCCCTAGTTGGGGCATAGGGAGGGGCCTCCTTTGCTTTATCGCCTTGCAGCCTGCCAGAGCTTGTGTGATAGAGAACAAGGGTAGCAGTGACCCCCAGTGGAGAAATAGACACCAGCTCTCCTCTCCCTAGAGACAGGCATTCACTCTCCCTCTGCTTCGCCAGAATTCTGAACAGATCCCATCTTCCTGGGCCTGGGCTTGAGTGCTGTCCATGGTTCTGACATCCTAGGGTTGGGGAAGGACAAGCTGGACTGGAGGGCAATGGAAGGGCCTGACATATGACAGCTGCTGTCTCAGGGGCCTCAAGGCCACAGTTCACACAGTCGCCAATCACACGTGACTTCCCAGCCCTCTAATGCTGTTTTCCTGAGCCCAGCTCCAAGTCTTGGCCTTTGTCAAAGTCTTCTTCTGCAAGTCCATCCTGCAAGGAGAAGGCAAGGAGAGAAAAGATATTGTTCTCAATCTACAAAGCCATATCAACTTATATCAGAAATCTAAAACAGAACTTTAGCTTCGAGGCTTAGTTCCAGCCCATGTATTAACGAGCATTCCTTCCTTCTTGGGTCCTCCGAGTCTCCCAGCCACCGACCATTCCACACTTTACAGAGCACTTAATATCACTTAGTATGTTTTGAGTATCATGCCAGGTGATGAGTACACCCTAGGAGCAAGAACAGACACACAGGCCCCTGCCCTCATGGAACTCATCATCTAGCATGGGAGACAGACGTTAATCAAGACTTATACAGATTAATATATAATTTCAACTGTGATCAGTGCTATGGAGGCGAGATGAATGCTGCTGCAAGACTTTATTACAAGAGAATTTCATGTAGTCAAAGAAGTCAGAAAGACCTTCCCTGGGAAAATGATGACTGTGATCTGATATATTTTGATGAGTTGAGAATGTTTTAGGCAGAGGAAGCAGCTTGTGTGAAGGCCCTGGGGCAGGAGAGAGGCTGGAATGCTTGAGGAACTAAAAGAAGACTGGAGTACAGGGAATGAGGAGGAGAGTGATGCAAGCTGAGGCAGGAGAAGGGGGCAGGGGCCAGACATGCAAGGCCTTGTGGGCCATGTTAAGAGTTTTATCTTTCATCTGAAGAGCAATGGGAAGTCACTGATATGTTTTTTTATAGAGAGGTGGCATGAACAACTTTCGATCCCAAAAAGATCACTCTGGGTGCTGTGTGGAGAACAGACTGTGAAGGGGAAGAATGGATATGGTGAAACCATGTTGGAGGAGTCTGGGTGCTGAAAGATGATGGCTCAGACCAGAGTGACAGTGAAGATGGACAGAACTCAAGGAAATGAAGAGATACTACTAGGTAAGTCAACAGAACTTGACAATGGAGGGGCATGAGGGTGGGGTAAGGGAGAAGGAAGTATTAGGGGTGACTTGGGGTTTCTGGACTGCTTGATGTGATGGAAGGTGAGGACTTTTATTGAATTGGGGAAAACTGGATGGGACCAGGTTTGCAGTGGAAGAGCAGGAGTGCAGTCATCGAGTTCAAGGTGACTTTGAGACACCCAAATGGAGATGTTGAGGAGGCAGACCTACATACAGAGGACCACCCAGCAGGGGGCTGGAGGTAGCAGTTTCGAGATTCAACTCTATAAATGGTATCTGAAGTCATAGACATGATAACAAGCCCAGGGAGAGAGTGCAGAATGAGGAGTGGACACGAGGCCACTGACACAACAGGGCTCAGGGTGCTGCCCCGAGGGTGCACACGTCAGTCCATTAACAGCAGCTGGAAGGAAGGGAGAGCCCCTTTGGCTGCTGCCAAGACTAGAGGTCCAGTTGCTATGATCCCATCTGATTCAAGGATTGTGGGATCAGATCCCTGCAAGCAGAGAGAGAACATGGAGACTAGAGGCTGACCCAGTGGTGTAGTGGTTAAGTTCAGCATGCTCAGCTTAGGCTGCCTGGTTCATATGTTTGGATCCTGGGCGTGGACCTACACCACTCATCAAGCCATGCTGTGGTGGTGTCCACATACAAAATGGAGGACGGGGGCCCACCCGGTGGCGCAGCAGTTCAGTATGCACTCTGCGTCAGCGGCCCAGGTTTCGCTGGTTCAGATCCTCGGTGCAGACATGGCACCACTTGGCAAGCCATGCTGTGGCAGGTATCCCACATATAAAGTAGAGGAAGATGGGCACGGATGTTAGCTCAGAGCCAGTCTTCTTCAAAACAAAATGGAGAACTATGGGCACAAATATTAGCTCAGGGCCACTCTTCCTCAAGCAAGAATAGGAAGATTGGCAACAGGTGTTAGCTCAGGACCAATCTTCCTCACCAAAAAAATAAATAAATAAAAGTGGAGACCAGAGAGAAGGATGCTGTTGCTGCGGGGACATGACCCTGTGGAGCTAGACCTTGCTTCCTTCTGTCCCTCCCTCTGTGGTAGAGCAGCCCCAGGCTGGGGCTCCCTCCTGTTAGGGCAGAATCCCACTGGGCCCTGACCTGACTGTGGGGAGAGGTGGGATTGGGCATCCTCCTTATTCCCTTCCTGTGCTGAAGTTCACACTCTTGGCAGGCAGAGCAGTGGGTCTTGTGGGGCCCTCATGCCCATGCAGGAGGGAGGGAAGCTAACGATCCATGCCCGGCTCCCAAGTGCTTCTTCCAGGACCAGGCCCCTTCTCTCCACCCTCCAGGTACTACCCGGGGAGGTGGCCCCACACAGGAGGAGGAGCCGACTTCTCTGGCCTGGTGCTGGGGAGGCACTTGCAGCTTATGGACAAGGCTGACCTGGGGACATGGAGCCACCTTCCTGCCCCACTCTGTGCCCCAATAACTGGGGCTTTCAGAGGTAATATTCTTAAGATGGACCACGCCCTGATCTCTAGGGCCCCCAAGGCCTGAGCAGCTGGCCAGGGGGCAGTGTGGGTCACCCAGAGGCCAGGTTAACAATTTGGCTTCATTGATTCAGGCTGGAAGGAGTAGGAGGAGGGCACTGGATATAGCCAGACATGAGATTCAGGACCAGTTTCTTGCCCCCAGATTTTTCCAGTACCTTACAGCCCTACAGCCCAGCTGCTCCTTGTCAGAGGCCAGGGCCCCCACACAGTGTCCCTAACACACACTCAGCCTTCCCACTGAGGTTGGCTTCACTCCCTGGAGCAGCCTCCTGGCCTCCCCCACTCATGTTCTGCCCCAGCAACCTCGCTGCTCCCTTCCCTGCAGCCAGCTTCCCAGCGGGCATCTGGGCCTTGAACAGAGATCACAGACAGCAGGCCCCACCTCATTGCTCATCCCTGAAACTTCTCTTTCTCCCTTTTACGCCCAACAATGGGTTACCCGGACTTCACTTGCCTCAATAACAGTAAGACAATGTGCACAGACCTCGCTCCCACAGCCAATTGATGCCTTTAATTCGATGGTAAGACAGCTTCGTGGTGATGGTGTGTGCAGGGGAGGAGGAATGTACGACTGGAAAATGGCTAGAATAGGTACCCGACTCTGCCCTTAGTGGCACTTATCATCTACTAGGAGGGGCTGGGAAAAGCAGTGAAGGGACATGTCACAAGAGAAAGTGCCCATCCCCTAGACCAGCGAAGACTAGGGGAGGAGCCCCACACTCTCCTAGGGGTAAGAGGCAGCATTTGTGTCTGAAGAGCAGGACGGCGAGTAGATGCACAGTCGGGGAGCAGCCCCTCTCAACCCAGCCCCAGCTCTACTCCGTCCTCATCCAGATGACTCACATTCCCTTCCTTCCTTCCTCTTTCTTTGCAGCAGTTCCAGGGATGCCTCCTCAGGCCAACAGGCAGGCCAGAGTCTCCCCCAATGGAACCTGCACCAACCAACAAGCAGCCACCTGCTCCAGGAGCTGAGGGGCCCGCCCCTGCTGATCACACCTCAGAAAATACTCATCCCCAAGAGCCGCCTGCATCTGAGCTCCCCTGGGAGAGCTGGGAGGAGCAGCAGGAAGAAGCCCATCTCCCTGCGCTCCTGCCGTGCTCCTCTGAGCACAGCAGAGGTGTCCTGGAGCACGCTGCCCTCGTGGGAGTCATCCCAACCCCAGCGTCTGTGGTGAGCATGGCATGGCAGGAAAGGGGAACTGTCACCAACTCACAGCCATCTGTCCTGTCTTCTCCATCCTCCCTAGGACCCCATCCCGACCTTTTCTAGTGTGGGCTGGAAAGCCCAGGCCAGGATTCTAACTGCAAGCTCAGCCCCTGTCAGCGTTTCTCACTGTGTCCTCAGAAAGATCTTTCTAACTCACCACATCCTGTTTCTTATCACTGTGTCATCAGAAAGGTCTTTCTAACTCACCATATCCTGTTTCTTAAGGAAACTGGACTTAGGAAGGAAGAGAATGTCCTGAGAAGCAAGAATAATGAGGAATGGGATGACTCTCTGTCCCTATAAGTCTTTAGGAAGAGGACAGGCTGCCTGCCATTGAATAGGAGCCCCTGGGGACAGCACAACTCTGAGGACAGCCCACTCATAATATTTGCAGGTCCCAGGGCACAAGCACACATGGAGGCCTACCTACCTTGCATCCTTACTGAAAGGTTATAAGTCAAGTTAGCAAACTGTGACATAAGTATGTTCTATCATCCTGCCCTGACAAGCGTGCCCTCAAAGCAACCTGCTAGCCGGCTGGCATTTAGAATTCCCTGACTCCTTGGATTCTGTGCTCAAATGCAGTGGCACAGGGAGAGCAGGTCACAGCTCACAGCCTGGTCCCCTGCTTTCCTCACCCTTGGCTCCACCTCACACCAGAAGAGCCTTCAGTGCATGCGAGTGGACAGCCAGTCTGCACACCCAAGCGCTGTCCACCCCTCCTCCATGAACCTCCGCCCTTGGCCACTCCTTGGCTGGGCCTAGGGGTGCACACCTGGGGAAACGGCCTGCACAGGCTCTGCAAGTGACCATTTGGGCAGGAAGGCGAGGGTGTTGGAATGAGAGTGTGGTCCTGGAAAGAGGGCTGTGGCTCCAGGTCAGCATGTCCCCTTGGCCCCACAAACTCCTTGCCCCATGGTGGGATGGCATACCCAGAAGAGGAGTAGAACAGACCCCTCTATCTAGGCCTAAGTGTGGTCATAGACAGGGCACCTCAGCCACTCACTCTGTCTTCTACTGAGAAGTGATCAGAAGGTGGCCCTTTGAGCCTTGGAAATGGTGCTGTCACGTTGCCCTGTCCACGTTCTCCCTCTCACTCCTGTTCTCCAATGCTCTATCAGTCAGACCCCCACCAGGAAACAGATGGTACAATCAGTTTAGATCATTTTCAAAGGTGGAGATGGAATATAAGGCAACCACAATGGATATGTAGTAACCCAGAGGTAGTAAGAGTGAAGGAGACATTTCCACCTTTAGGCCCAAGGACTAGGGGAGGTAAGATGTACTGGAACCCAGGAGACATGTTGAGAAAGATGATTTGTGAAGTGCAGGGACCTTGGTTCAGGGATACAACCAAGCCAAGGTGCCTCCCAGGTAGGGAGCCAGGAGACTAATGATCATGGCCTCACTCTCCTTTCTCCCTCTACTTTCTTACTGGTGTTCCACATGGGCCAAACTCAACCAAGGCCAGAGGGCACAGGACACTGATGTAGCCTATGGAGGTCAGCCTCCTGGGGCTGAGCATAGGATAGAGAGGGGTGAAGGTGGGTCTGGAAGGGAAACGGAAAATACCCAGCACAGACACTAAATAATGACTCAGATAGAAATGATCAGTAACAGGAGATGAAAGGTGGGTATTTATGAACAGAGTGTGCTCTCATGATCAATTAAAACTGAAGTCTTGATAAGAACGTGTATGTTCAATGCTGTGCACCACAGTTATTGGGCATAACTGGCATGAGGTTCGCATTGATGATGCTTGCCCAGGGTTTCCCAACTCCGAAAGGTCAAGAATCTGCCCAAAGGCACCCAGCTATGTGTAAGACTCAGACTAAATCCAGGTCTACCTCCCAGCCCACAGCTTTTCCCACACCCCTCTCTAGTACTGACAAGTGAAGTCTACAAACACAGCAGGGAGCAGAACAGGTTGGGGGGAAATGGAACCAGGTTTCATGCATGTTACATGTGAAAGGACAGTGGACATCTGCATGGAAATAGCCAGCCAGCAGCTGGAAATGCAGGACAATACCCATAGAGAAGAGTTGCTTACATGCTCCCTATGCTTGAGCACCAGACTCAGAACAGTCCTTTCAACAGAAGCTGGCTCAGGAAGAATGTGGCTTCCTGACCGGATGTCCACACGAAGGCCAGGAAGCCACATTCCAAGAAAGAGCATCCACCATTTCCTTTTCACACCTACTTGCTCAACCCGCTGAAGACTCCCCTACACATCCTGTGCCTTTGCCCTACTGTCAGCACACTGAGAAGGCTACTGCCCTTTCCTTAGTTCATCTAAAACCCAATCATGAGCAGTATACGCCTATAATGACCAGATTGAAAATGAGACATCATAAAACTTAGATGGGAAAATGAGAAGAAAATTAAAGGCATGATGCAAACCAGCAGCGATATTGGATACTGTAACAGAAATCCCACACAATTCTTCCCTGAAATGTCATCTGATCTGAGCATATGCACCAGTGAGAAATGAATTTTCCTGAAACTCTGACATGAAGCCTGCTCCAGGGAGCAGTTCTCAGTCTGTGACTTAGCTCAGCCCCCACCAATGAACACCTGCTAGGCTCATCTTGAACTGTTTGATCTGAGTGGGAAATGTGGCAGCATTCTCATCATTACTGGAAGAATACTTTTTTTATTTATTATTTCCTTTAGATCATAATAGTTTATAACATTGTGAAATTCCAGTTGTACATTATTCTTTGTCACTCACCATATACATGTGCCACTTTACTCCTTATGCCCCAACCTCCTTCCCCTCTGGAAACCATTAAACTGTTCTCTTTGTCCATGTGTTTGATTACGTTCGACATATGAGTGAAATCCTGCAGTGTTTTTCTTTCTCTGGCTTATTTTGCTTAACATAATACCCTCAAGGTCCATCCATGTTGTTGCAAATGGGATGATTTGGTCTTTTTTTTTTTTGAGGAAGATTAGCCCTGAGCTAACATCCGCTGCCACTCCTCCTCTTTTTTGCTGAGGAAGACTAGCCCTCAGCTAACATCTGTGCCCATCTTCCTCTACTTTATATGTGGGACGCCTGCCACAGCATGGCTTGACAAGTGGTGCATAGGTCCACACCCGAGAGCCAAACCGGCGAATCCCGGGCTGGCGAAGCAGAATGTGCGAACTTAACTGCTGTGCCTTAGAGCTGACCCCAATTTGATCTTTTTATGGCTGAGTAGTATTACATTGTGTATATATACCACACCTTCTTTATCCATTCATCAGTTGATGGGCACTTGGGTTTCTTCCACCCAACTTGGGTTACTTGGCTATTGCAAATAACACTGCAGTGAACATAGGGGTGCATAAGTCTCTTTTGACTGTTGATTTCAAGTTCTTTGGATAAATACCCAGTTGTGGGATAGCTGGGTCATATGGTATTCCTATTTTTAATTTTTTTAGAAATCTCCATGCTATTTTCCATAGTGGCCGGACCAGTTTGCATTCCCACAGGCAGGGTATGAGGTTTCCCTTTTCTCCACATCCTTTCCAGCATTTGTTCCTTTTTGTTTTGGTAATTATAGCCATTCTGACAGGTATAAAGTGATATCTCCCTGTAGATTTGATTTGCATTTCCCTGATAATTAGTCATGTTGAATATCTTTTCATGTGCCTGTTGGCCATCTGTATATCTTCTTTGGAAAAATGTCTGCTCATACCCTCTGCCCATTATGTGATTGGGTTGTTTTTGTTGTTGTTGAGTTGTACGAGTTCTTTATATATTTTGGAGATTAACCCCTTGTTGGATATATTATTTTCAAATATTTTCTCCCAGTTAGTAGGTTGCATTTTCATTTTGTTCCTGGTTTCCGTTGCCTTGCAGAAGCGCTTTACTCTGATGTAGTCCCATTTGTTCATTTGTTTCTTGATTCCCTTGCCTGAGTAGACATAGTATTCAAAAAGATCCTTCTAAGACCGATGCTAAAGAGAGTGCTGCCTATATTTCTTCTCAGAGTTTTATGGTTTCAGGTCTTACCTTCAAGTCTTCATCTCATTTTCAGTAAATTTTTTGGTATGGCAAAAGCTGATGGTCTACTTTTCATTCTTTTGCATTTGGCTGTCCAGTTTCCCAACATCGTTTATTGAACAGACATTCCTTTCTCCACTGTATGTTCTTGGCTCCTTTGTTGAAGATTAGCTTGACTTTTAATTCAGTTCCATTGATTTGTGTGTCTGTTTTGTACCTGTATGATGCTGTTTTGATTACTATAGCTTTTTAATGGATTTTGAAGTCAAAGATTGTGACTCCTTCAGCTTTGTTCTTTTTTCTCAGGACGCTTTGGCTACTCAGGGTCTTTTGTCACCTGATATAAATTTTAGGATTCTTTGTTCTATTTCCATGAAGAGTGTCACTGGAATTCCAAAAGGGGTTGCATTGAATCTTTAGATTGCTTTAGGTGGTATGGACATTCTAACTATGTCCATTCTATAAATCCATGTGCATGGACTATCTTTCCATTTCCTTATGTCTTCATCGATTTCTTTCAATAATGTCTTGTAGTTTTCAGTGTATAGGTCTTTTATCTCCCTGGTTAAATTTATTCCTAGATGTTTTATTCTTTATGTTGTGATTGTAAATGGAACTGTATTCTTGAGTTCTCTTTCTGTAATGTTGTTATTAGAGTATAGAAATGCAACTGATTTTTGTAAGTTGATTTTGTACCCTGCAACTTTTCTGTAGTTGTTGATTATTTCTAACAGCTTTCAGATGGATTCTTTAGGGTTTTCTATATATATAATCATGTCATCTGCAAACAGTGAGAGTTTCACTTCTTCCTTGCCAGTTTGGATGCCATTTATTTCTTTTTTGCCTAATTGCTCTGGCCAAAACCATCAGTAATGATGCTGGACCCCCCAGAGGAAGTGGAAGGAGGTAAAGGAATCTTGTGTCCCTCCTAAAAGGCAGTTACCCAGGCTGTGGGAACGTGCACAGCTCTAAGAAAAGAGGGGGAATGGGCGATTCTCCGTGGGAACACCTTTGCGCTCCAAGTTCCCTCACAGTCCAAAGGAAAGCCCCACACAGAGGTGGCTAAGCTACTGCAGGGGTGTCTCCATTGTTGTTGAGCTGTGTGAATTCTTTATATATTTTGGAGATTAACCCCTTGTCGGATATATTATTTTCAAATATTTTCTTCCAATTGGTGGATTGTCTTTTCATTTTTTTTTTCTTCTTCTTCCCAAAGCCCCCCAATACATAACTGTATATTCTAGTTGTAGGTACTTCTAATTCTGTTATGTGGAATGCCACCTCAGCATGGCTTGATGTGTGGTGCTAGGTCCACTCCCAGAATCCTAACTGGCAAAAGCTTGGGCCGCTGAAGTGGAGCTCTGTACTTAACCCCTTGACCACAGGGCAAGCCCTTGTATTTTTGTTTTGTTCCTGGTTTCCTTTGCCTTGCAGAAGCTCTTTAATCTGATGAAGTTCCACCTCTTTATTTTCTCTTTTGTTTCCCTTGTCCGAGTAGACATGGTATTCGAATGGATCCTTTTAAGACTGATGTCAAAGGGTATATTACCTATATTTTCTTCTAGCAGTTTTATGGTTTTAGGTCTTACCTTCAAGTCTTTGATCCATTTTGAGTTAATTTTTGTGTATGGCAAAAGAAAATGGTCTACTTTCATTCTTTTGATTGTGGCTGTCTAGTTTTCCCAACACCATG